GGTGTAAGATGATTTTATGTGCTCAGTCAGTTTTTGGCATCAGATCAAGATTCCAACTCATTGATTAAAGGAAGCATTGGTCACGTGATCTCTTAATGCAAGTGGCCTATTTGGACCATCAGCTCAGGGCCCGCGCAGCAGTTGTTCAAGTGCGGGGGCTGCTTAATTCAAGTGCGTTGGGAATCGGAGATCTGGCTGTTAAAAGAATGCTGCGATCAACAGATTTAGTCTACCAAAGAAGAGCAAATTGACATTATCGCTAAAAAACTGAATGCAATAATGTGTTTTCCATTTTTCGATAAACAGTTTGAATTTTTTTGCTGCCGCTCTTTTCTAGCTTTCCAAGACCAGCATGCCGATCCTTGTTCATCAGTGTCGATCAATTCAATCTGGTCACTGGACTGGAGGGCTGATTGTATAGGTTGTCAGTTAAGACGAGTAGTGCTTAATCTGATCTAACCTTTAGAATGTCTACCTTACCTGTCACCATGAAAAACCTTTCTATTCACAAAACCCGCGAGATAAGGGCTGCATGGATACAGTATATATAATTTGATCATCAGTTACGTCCTTATTAGACCAAATCTAATACAAGAAGAAAGAACAATGAAGGAATACTGGTCCGTATAATTTCGAAGGTCGATAAACCCTATAAGTCGTGGGATCAGAACAGACCAATTAAATTTTTTTATTCCAGCGGAGGAAAACCTACTTATATTTTACGGCGGTAGTTCATATCGAGAAAAAGTAGCGTTTGCAGCTAAGCTAAGGGAAGACTATTAATAACGGCGAATTTTTTTGCGCTTTGGGTGATTCCTGCTGAAAATTAATTCACGCGCCGAATTTAGCCGCAATTTTATGGCATTTATACAGTTGTTTCATAGGGTGCATGTAAGCTGGTGCATGCAATGAAAAATTTAATCACCTCAGGGGCACCTTACCATGACAGCGACACTTTCGTGCAACCCTAGAATTTTAATGACGCTGTTCAATTTCGGATTGTCGTTCTGGAAATCGATGAACCAACAACTAAGAAAATCCGTGAATGTGGCGCAAAAGAAACGCAGATCAGTTTAATTTTAGTAATTACAGCGTCGTGTTTAATATTTCCAACAAACATTTGTGAATTTTTTCTTTATGAAAAGCTACTTTAAATGCGAGGGGATTATGTATTTTAATATGCAAGGGGGACATGTCACTTATCTCCCTTGCATATTAATACATAATCCCCTCGCATCGCATCCTCTCATTTTAATGAGCTGTTCTTAAGCCCCGCTCTTTCCTTCAAGCAATCAAAGCCCCACCCAGCTTTTCAGACAGTTGATTCGAGGGTTATGTAATATATTCCCCCCCGAAAAGAACAAAGGAATCCGAGCTTATGTAAAAATAAGCAAATAAAGCTTATGTTGTTGTTGCATTACATTTAACGAAAAAGCCCGCCCTCAAATCACCTTGGCATGTTCAAGTAGGAAAATCAATAAGCACCGCGGCGCTCTTTCGAAATTTCCGACTTTTTTACAATTTGGTTTGTGCTAACTTTACTGACTGAAGTTCATACGCAGCCTTGCAGACTCCATCAATTGGAGTATCATGTACGTACTCTACGATAAATTTAAAGTTGTTTATGGAGATACTTTATCATCAATTTCATCACACTTATTTAAATACGATGCTGCTAAGAAGAAATGAAAGTTCAAACCTTGTTTTGTTTTGAACTTTCATTTCTTCTAAAGACGGGTTTTAAACTTATATCAATATGTTTCAAGCTTACATCAGCAAAGGTAATCAACATATTAAAAGGTCTGATTAGCAAAAATTGATAAGCGCTGCTATATTGCTGGAAAATGCGGCACTCTCGCTTGAATGGGTTGAATGCAGGAGAAAAATATGTTTATTCGAAAGAGTGCCGAGGCGTTTATTTATTTTTCTTCTTCTCCTGTGCGACTCTTACTTGAGGTCGGCGCCCTTTCGATTAAATGCAGTAAAACATTGAATTTTTGAAAGAGCGCCGCGGCGCTTATTGCTTTTCGATTTAAAAGATGCCAAGGAGAATTCGTGTGGCGCTGTTTTGATTAAGTGCGTTTTTTCCTGCTGTGTTATGCCAGAAAGTGTCGGGTTTGTGTCATGGAGTGTGTGTGCGTGTGTAATTTGGCGCTGGTAGCCGGGGAAGGGAGTTGTGGGGATGCATCAAAGGGCTATTCTCATTCGTATAAAAGCCGCCGCGTGACGATTTAATCAACTAGATTACTGCGTGCTCCTTCGGGAAGCAGTCTATTGGTCCTTTACGGTCCCCAGGGAAATTCCCTAGGCCTTTTATACGCCCTAGCAAACAAATTCACCGTCTTCTCGCAAGTCTACTCTACAACGGGCAAGCAAGTTTCATTCTTCCGCAACGCGACCAGCGCCGCTGAAGCTCTTTCATGGCTCTCGTCCCTTTGTAACCAGACCCAGCTGACGCGGTAGCTATTGCTTCGACAGAACCTCAACCAGCACCAACACCATCCACCTAAGTATCATGTTTTAATTTCTCGCTTCCCCCTTTTCTTGTCAATTTGTCACATACGTGGCGTTTATCTTTTTCACCATTCTGTTCTGGAGTTTGTTTACGTTAGCGCTTTTAGGCGTCTGTGCGACGTACCAGAGGTAAGGCGACCCTTATTTGATTATTGTCGCGTCTTTTTCGTCTGTTACAGTAGAACGAAAACGAGCCGGAACATATTTACGTTGGCGCTTCATGGCGTCTGTGAAACGTAAAGGAGAATCTCAACAGTGCAGTTCAGTGGAATGTATTTAATTACGTTGGCGCCCTTCGGCGTCTGTGAAACGTATAATGTAGAGAAAGACATTACGTTGACGCTTCTTAGCGTTTGTGAAACGTAAAGGAGGATCCTAGCAGCTCTATTAAGTGGCATGTTTTTAATCAGTTACGTTGGCGCCTTTTGGCGTCTCTGAAACGTACAATCAGGGGATAGACATTACGTTGACGCTTCTTAGCGTTTGTGAAACGTAAACGAAGATCTCACCAACGCAGTTCGGTGGCATGTTTTTAATTTCGATGGTGCCCTTTAACGTCTGTGAAACGTACAATGACGAACAGACATCTTTGGCTTTACTTCGCGACCGTCCATCGTACATTTGTCTACAGTCTTTGATGCTTTATGGCATTTTACGTGTATGTATTGAAAGATTTTAGAATAAGGTGGCCAGTTGTTTATTTTTCCCGTTCGTTTCCTACTCATTGTATTGTCAACATTTTGTATAATTTCTGCACATTGCATTGTCAGCATACTCCGTGCCCCCTCGCAGCTGTTCCCTTGAGACGTCTCACTTTTTATATTGTATTTATTCTTCTTCACCTATTACACTTGTGATCTAAGGGCCTGTTTACATGGAGGTGGGGGACCCCGGGTAGGTGAGGTAACCCGCTTAGGTGGGGTAACCCGCCTGTCCATATAATCTCTCATTTTCATTTGATCACGTTTACATGATAGGTGGGGTGACCCGCCAAGGCGGGTAGCCCGGTCTACCAGACCGGGTTACCCTCTCAGCCGGGGTCACAATTTTTCATGTAAACGTTTCAAGGTGGGGTAACCCGCCTGGCCGGGGTCGGATTCGTGATACATCAAATTCGCGCAAAATTCGCTTTCGCGGTGTCTTTGCATTATGATTAAAGTTAACAATAGAAAGCTATTGCACTGACGGGTTGCAGCAAGAGCAACAAGTGAGTGAAGAAGTGCATTAATCGCCAAAACTCGTGGTTTGCCAGCATTTTTCTTGTTTACGTGCTTAGCGACCATTCAATAATCTTGAGAAAGTGCACCCCGGGAAGGCGGGGTTGTAAGATTGCATGTAAAGGAGGGTTATTTTTTTACCTCACCTAAGCGGGTTACCTCACCTAACTGGGGTCCCCCACCTCCATGTAAACAGGCCCTTAGAGGTCACATAGCAGAAACAGAAGGTGACTTAACTCCTAGATATCAGTAACCACATTCTCTTTACTCTAGCGTACAGCCTTTATAAATTTTCACGAGTTTCCTTGTATATTATATTTTTCTTTGGCTTTTGCTTCCTATATTTCCTTACCCCACACTTGAGTCGTGCTCAGGGGGGGTTCCTAAACACACCCCTCATCCAGTCTTCGGACGGTGTCCTGACTCGACTCAACTGTGGGGTTCCCTCCCAGCCTCCCTCTTTCGTGGGGTCTTTCCTTCTTTTTTATCTCCTCCCATTCGGATTTCTCTAACCGGGTTACACATGCTGCAAGCCACCCTTCAGCTTTCCTTTAGCGTATCCGGGAGAGAAAGCCCCACAGTTGGGCCGGGCCACTCCCCTCAATTGAATACGTCACATCTGGGAGGCATTACGCCAACACTGCCCATCTCTCTAAGGGAGTTTTTCTGGGTTTTTCTGAGTTTCGGGGAGATTTGACTGTACTGCAAGTTAATGAGGTATTCTGCAATAATTTACCGTCTTTTGGATGAGTCTATAGAACCCCTGGTGTCGGGCAAAATTTTTCACCCATAACTTACCTATCAAAAGGCATAAGGTGGCTTTTATGCGAATGTAAATTAGTTACTATTCTCATTCGTATAAAAGCCGCCGCGTGACGATTTAATCAACTAGATTACTGCGTGCTCCTTCGGGAAGCAGTCTATTGGTCCTTTACGGTCCCCAGGGAAATTCCCTAGGCCTTTTATACGCCCTAGCAAACAAATTCACCGTCTTCTCGCAAGTCTACTCTACAACGGGCGAGCAAGTTTCCCCACCCTCCTCCCCTTCAGCGGCGCTGGCAAATTTTCTCTATCAGCCCACCTTATGCCTTATGCAAAATTTTTCACCCATAACTTACCTATCAAAAGGCATAAGTTGGCTTTTATGCGAATGTAAATTAGTTACTATTGATAAAAAATTCCAGGACTGTTCGCTGGAGAGAGACGTATCTTGGAAAAATATAAATCAAAGATTGAGTCAGAGGAAAACAGAACAAAAGGTTTTGTTTTGAGCAATGCGTTTATTCAATTTAATTTCCACAAATATTTGTTCACGCAAGAATTAAGCCTTCACTTAACCTAGAGTCTCTATATATTTAGCATTGTAAAGGACACTGATCATTGACTATGAAGTCGAACAATATTTTTAACGTTGCATTTGTATACTTATTGCACCAGGATGTAGCCCATCGCTTTAATGTTTTTGCTACCATTGTCTGGTTGGTGCAAGGCCGCCGTGTTTCCACAGGTGTTGTCTCCAGGATAACCACTAGTACCAAACCCAATTCTTGAGTCAGGGGTATCACAGTCGTTTTGTTCGTTACCTATGATACCTATTCTTGCTCTGCTGTGGTGTCCCGGCCCGCGAGCATTGAACCCTTCTTGGTTACAATTTCTCTGCAGCGATGCCTGTTGGCCAATCAGCGTCTTCCAGGTATGACGACTCAAATTGGTTGAACGGTAGTATCCGTCAGCGATCAGGGAGTGTAAGGAGATGGCTTGTTTGTTGACGACGATCGAATTAACTTGATGGCCGATCTTCATAGCGAGACAGATCTTAGTAAATGGTGTGCCCCAGTATGTGGGTAATTTTGTTTCTTGATGATCAAGCAGGGACTTTCCCGTAGAGGGATTATGGTCCTTCTTGTCGGTCCACAATTTTGAATCGTAATGAAAGGCACTCTAAACAGATAAAGAATCATATATCGTCAATTAACAAACTGTTTTCACATGACATCACAGCAGTCACATTCTGCTCCAAAAGTTTGTAAGACTATCCAATTTGCCCTTCTGGTCCCTGGGGGTCAACTACATCCAACCTCCTCCCCCTCCCCAAGTAGTCTTGAGAATAATCAAACGCCTGGTAAGAATTAAAATAATGTAATGAATACCCCCAGCCAGGTAAATGACGTAACATGCAAGATTCCTCTAAACATTTCGCTGTGATGATGGTCAATGGCTGCCATCTCGGTGAACTAGTGAGCCAGTGTGAAGAGGCTACATTATATGACTGGCCGTTTTACGACCCGTCAAGATGAAGCGAATCCTGTGGTCTGTGCGAGAAACAATTTCCTTTTTGGCCATGTAATAAATCCTTGATTTACCAAATCTTCGGTCAAGAGGAATGGATGCTGGGCTGGTTCTTTTTCGCGATATTATGGACCTCAACTCGGTCTCGGTTCATAAAAACGCAAATAAAAAGGAACTCATGTTACGCCGCAAAATGTAACAATTGACGCAAAATGTAACATTAACGCGAAATGTAACAACGTTTGACGCGAAAAGCAACATTAACCCGAAATGTAACAACTTTTTACGCAAAATGTAACAACTTTTTAACGCGAAATGTAGCAACGTTTTGACCCAAAATGAAACAATATTTTTAACGCGAAATGTAACAAGCAAAATGTTACAGCCTTGAAATAACTGAGAGACTTGGAATTGGACATGAGCCTTGTAGATAAAGTGTAAATTTCCTGGTGGTTACAAAAACAGTTTATTTATAAAGTTTTCTTATAATGTCAAATAAACTTACAAAACGTTTTCAGATAATAGTAACTAAATCCTGAAACAGTCGAACGAATTGTTGTTTAGTATATGTTTCTGTACATATGTGTGACGCTGAAAAGAAGGTTGGCGTTACAACATCCAGGACGTATTAGATGGGTTAGAATGGTACATTTTTAGCATACTCCCTCTAGGGAGTTGAGCCCGTATGACATGGAGGCGAGTATCGATTACTGATCATTCTTTGCACACTATCATCGAGTAAAGACGCTCTCTGTTTTTATCCAACGCTGTCTGATTTTACCCACCTCCTCCCCTTTTCCCTAAAAGGAAAGTGTAGTGGAGCAGTCATCCGACTGCGTGAGACAGTGTTAAATGGGCGTTGGCATGGTTAAGTTTTAAGGCACCAGGACTGGGTTGGTATGAAATTCCTCACATTTACTGGAAGTCCGGTAAGAAATGAGAAATTTCATATCTATCTTATTGACTACGTTCAACATTTTCTTTGAACGATTACCTTTCTTAAATTTTACTTTTAACTTGCGTTTCAACTGCTGATTGGTGCGTGTTTACTACGGTGTTATTGTTCACATTTCTAGTCATATTCTTTTCGCATAGCTTGGGATATTTTCCATACGTTATGTTTGATAAGTTAGCGTTGTTGTTATTGTCCATACTGCTAGTTTTAAGGTTATACATGACTTGTACTTTATCACCTGTTTTACGACCTTTTGTAAGACATAGTTTATTTGACATTATAAGAAAACTTTATCAATAAACTGTTTTTGTAACCACCAGACAATTTACACTTTATCTACAAGGCTTATGTCCAAGTCTCTCTGTTATTTCAAGGCTGTAACATTTTGCTTGTTACATTTCGCGTTAAAAATATTGTTTCATTTTGCGTCAAAAAGTTGTTACATTTTGCGTTAAAAAGTTGTTACATTTTGCGTCAAAAGTTGTTACATTTCGGGTTAATGTTACATTTCGCGTTAATGTTACATTTTGCGTCAATTGTTACATTTTGCGGCGTAACAAACTCAGCCAAAATCGAGCCATATTAGCCTCATGGTTTGTCAGTAAAGCCTTATTCTTGTAAGAAACCTTCGCGGTAACATTTTTGCCAGCGGCACCCAAGATTCTCCTCATGGGCTATCTCGGATCACCCTCTTTTGCGCAACATTATTATGATATAAAATATGCCAAAAAGGGTAGAAATTAAATAAAGTCAATTTCAGCTACTTCATTATAAAACTAACAATTCATCTTAAACTATCAACCTTTCAGAAAATAAACGTTTTGTTCGTGCGCTATTAAAAAACTTGCCCCAAGGATTGCACTGGATTGAGATCACGCCTGCTCCATTCATACCAAAGCTTGAAAGTAACTAACAGCTAATTTTAAACATGAGCCGGAATGGTTTACACAACAGACTCCCATACCGTGCGGTCCAGTATGGATTGGAAATTTTCAAATTTGTTATTTCAATACCTGTATCCCCAGCCAAAAGTTGACGGTATGTTCGCTTCCTTTCAGCTTATTGCTTAAAAGCCGTTTACTAAATAGTTACTTTTCTAAAACCAGCTCCGCTGTTCACTTATGTCCAGGATTGCAATCTGTCGCAAAACTGATTTGCTAGCAATTCTCGGTCGCAATTTTAGTAAAAAATAGTTTAAAGGAAACTGCTCGAGGTTGATCGATGGGTTATTTAACAATTATTCCACGAGTGCGCGTTGGATATGAAATGGTAGATTAGCCAACGAGGCGCGTAGCGCCGAGATGGCTATAATCATCTCATATCCAACAAGCGCGAGTGGAATAATTGTTTTATCAAAAACATCCAAAAAACAGTATCGAGAATTCTTCCCGACTTTATTTTAAAAAACAACCGATTTTCACCTTGTTTTTAATTCTGAGCAGACGCGTACAGTTACCATATTTGGAGAGCATGGTATAATGGCTCATATAACATGATGGCTACGCCAATTAGAGCATTTGAATTGCATTATCCAATGAGTCAGCTTTTAATAAGTAATGGTAACAGGACTGAGTGGAGTCCAATTCGGTCTGTAATCATACGAGTGATTAACAAAATCGGACGACCGCGTAGCGGGAGTCCGATTTGTTTAATCACGAATATGATTACAGACTGAATTGGACGACACGAAGTTCTGTTACCAATTAATCATAACTTTAACAACATTTGTGATACATTAGGCTATTTTTTAAACCAAAACACAAGAAATTCGAAATTTTGTTTTGCTAGCAGTGAAAAAAAAGCCATTTAAGCGCGCGCGTGATGGCGCGTACTGTCCAATTACTTAGGCATGACGCGTACTGTTCTATTAAACTGTCCAATTAAGGCTGAAATCAGGGCAGTTGAGAACCAATCAGATTTGAGAATTTTGTTATAGTTATGATTATAGGCAATATACCATAGAATCGATCATGTATATTTCCTACATCTTCCAAATATGGTACGCGGCGGTTGATTATGAAGAATTAGTCGAGGCATTGGAGCCAATCATGAACGCGGGCAATGTATTATCAATGAATACTAAAATTGTTGCATCGCTGCTGTTACCTTACTGCCATTGATCTTCATGACCAGCGTCCATCCACCTCCTCCGCATGCTCCAAGCTCAGCAGCTTCCATGTGACAGTACACAGGAATTTGTTTAGACTCCACATTCAGTAGGTAGGCTTTGTTTTCATGCTTCCTAGTAAATAGATATTTACATAATGATATATATTTGAGGCACTGCATGAAATCAAGCAAGATTTGTTTTCTCTGCTTGTTTTAGTAAGTGACCGTCCTCATGCATATTCAATCAGATGCAATAAACGATTGGATTTAGAGACATAAATAAGAATAAATATAAACAAAATATATGACAATCTTTCGCACGTCGCGGACAAAACTGACATTTGGTATGGAGCAAAGTCGACCTTACAACAAAGAAAAACTTAATGAACAATTGATATATCTCGACAGACGCACGGTTACAAAAGTAGAACCAGCCGAATTCAGCGAAGATTATTTGAATCGGGTGGTGCAGCGTAAAAAAGAATTATATGTACCTGCTCGGAAAGCAGTAAAACGGTCAGTTAGGCCGTTAAAGCCAGAAATGTGATAATTAACCACAAATGTAAAAGTTTTCAAATGTAATGCAGATGAACTACAAGTGTAATAAGGCCCTCATATGAACTGAAAACCGAAGTTTCTTGAAAGAGCGCCGCCCTCTAATAAAGTCGAAAAATCAAAAGGCGCTCTCTCGAATAAATACAATTTAATCGGAAGAGCACTGCATTTCCTAGCTAGCAACTCTGCAGCCCTTATTGATTGTTTTAATAAAAAACAGCGGAGTCACCTTATCCACTTAAGAATTAGGCAACACTAACCCACATGGGCCTACAGTTATCCGCGGTGGGTACTTCCTTATATAAGCCATATAGACTGTGACGCCCCAAAGCGTAGGGTTTTTGGGCCGTTTTGGTTTGAAAACGGGTAAAGACTTTGTCCATTTTGGTCTGGAATCGGGTATGGTTTTCGAGGGAACTATGGGACTGTATGAACGTGTTTAATAAAGCAAATCAAGCTTGGTTGCGTAGCGTCCTAAAACAAAACTAGCAGCCGTTAAGCGGAACGTTGAAACTCGCTCGAGACCCTTTCCATTTGCGCAGAAATTGATGGAGAGTACGTACGTGTAGTCACATAGTTACATCGGGATGACCAGGTAGACAGCTTAGCAACTGCTAACTGTAATCGCTGAAGTCTCTTAACAAGATAATCCGCTATAGTATCACTGACAATGTCATTAAAATCGATCTTTGACAAAATAAGACACTGCCAAGTGTTTTCTGACATTATACGGAGCAAGGTATTTGAGCTTCTTCAGTACAGACAAAGTTCCGTAACAACTTGAGATCTTGTAGTTTATCTCTCTTTTCCAGTTGACGTTTTCGTGCACTTCCGTACCAAGTAGACGGAAAGTTAAAACTCGCCCGAGACCCTTTCCATTCGGCAGAGATGGATGGAGTGTGCGTCTGGTCCATGAGTTCGTGACATCTGGGGAGTTGAAAGAAGCATTACTACTTTAGTCTTCTTAGGATGGAGCGCCAAGTTGCATCGGGAAGACCATGTAGACAGCCTGCATCTCCGCCTGACAACTCTGAAGCTCAGATGGTTTACAGTGACTATAAATCATAATATCGTTCGCGTATTGATGGCAATTCACTTCGGTTGGAAGTACGTTTGTCAAGTCGTTGACATAAAGGTTGAATAAGAGGACGCAAAATGAATCCCTGAGGTACCCCAAAAGACACATTTATGCGTTCCGACGAGCGATCATCGATTTGGACGTACTGCGTTCGATCAGTCAAATAACTCACAATCCAATGTAGAGAGGACTTGGAAAACCCTAGCTTATGCAATTTGCACAGAAATGTCTCGTACACAACTGTCTCAAAAGCTTTAGAAAAGTCTTCCATTATTGCAATGGTGACCTCACCTCTGTTCATTGCCTTGAGGATATCATCTCTTATTATATGGCTGAGTCTGTTTTCGCCATGCGATTGGTCAATTTGCGGTCCGTAACTTGCTATACGGACCAAAATTTTTAAAGAAAAAAGCTCTAAATCTCTTTACCTCGGAAATGAGGTTTAAACAAAGTTTTAAGACACCTGTCAACCTTTAGGACTTGGATGTTGACTTTGGCCTTCAACATTTTAAACTGTATTTATTTGTGAACGAAGGTGATGAAAAAGCTAACTCGTAATCTTATCGAAGAGGATTCTAGTAAGTGTTTGAAAATTTTATCGTAGTACACAGTTAAGAAGACGAAAATCGACTGGCAGAGATTCGAGATGTTTTGCCTAAGAGAAAATGAGTAATTCCTTCGACAAATATGATAACAAACATACCTGCACCCGATCATCTTGACAAGCTTCTTTGTCATTTGCATTTTTTTTTTCAAAGACCAACGAAAGAAATATAGAAGCGAGCTCGAGCCAGACATGTCCAGTTTTCAAAAGACTCCAGCGTCACAATAACGAGTGAATACTTACAGTGCTGTTAGTTTTGACTGTAAACCCTGAGGACTGGGATGTTTTAATGAGAACGAAGCTGATGTAGAAACTGAATCGTAACCTTACCGAGGAAGAGAATGCTAGTCAGTATTTGGAAATTTTAACGCAGATCACAATTGAAGACGAGAATGAACTGGCAGAAAGAGAGGTTTTCCCAAAAACAATTAACGAGGGAATCCTTCGACAATGACAACAAACTTACCTTGAAAAGCGTCTTTGCCTTTTTTCCAAGGACAAATGGAGGAAAGATGGAAAGGACTTCTAGACAGACACAGTGTCCGGTTTCCAAAATACTCCAGCGTTACATTAAAGAGCTAAAACTTACAGTGCTCTTAGTTTTGACCGAATAAACTTTTTCAACATGGCGAATTTGTTTTTACTTTCTCGGATGTGCTATTGTTTTCGTGCGCCAATAAAAACTTTCTTTTTTGACGCCTGTCAAATGATTGTCAAATTGTGCGTCCTGCACTTGTTTCCGGTCCCCCAAACACGAAGAAGCCATATAATAAACATCTTATTAGCCTCGTTTTTTCGGTCCGTGCTGTAAATTACGGATCCTCGTTTTTTTCCATCGATTTATGGCCCGCGCCCTTCGCGCTTGGGCCATATATCGATAGAAAAAAAACTCGGTCCGTAATTTACAGTACGGACCGAAAACTCGGCTAATAAGAGGTATTTATTGCAAGCAAAGTAGTTGTAGTCGAGTGGCCTTTGCGGTATGCACTTACGTTTGGCTGAAGCGCAGCAGTTTCCGTGATAACATCCACCATTTGTCGTCAAGACAGTCTTTCATAAACCTTTGTTAACACAGGCAAAATGAAAACAGGGCGAAAATCGTCATTTGCCTGGGGTTCGCCCACCTTCGGAATGGGACTAATGCGTGCAACCTTAAGCTTCCAAAGAGTTGAAAAGTCCGGTTTCGAATGCGCGTGTTTAAGATATGCGTTAAAGGCGATGCTTAGTGGTCTTAACCTATAGCTTGATGAATTTGGTTGGAATGTTATCCGGACCAATAGAGCAGTCGGACCGCAGCGCTTTGCTCTCCCGAATAACTTCATGATAGGTAACACTCTTCAGACGAAAGGAAGTATCAGGATCCTGCGCAAGCGCATTAATACGCCTATGGAGCTCCTCCTTATCAACTGCCACTGAGGCATCGACACGCTCAGCTGCAGAAGTAAAGTGCTTATTATCCGGATAGACAGTTATTGGTTGCTGGCTAGGGTGAAGTATGCGATGGATCGTCTTCCATACTTCCTTGGGCCGCTTAGACGAGAGTGCATTGGTCATAAACCCTCTCTTTGCTTTCCCAATCAGTTTCTTAAGACTGTTGCGAGCGTCTTTGAAGATGTCCCTAGCAGCCTCACTGTGAGGGGGTGTGGTGCTTCCCTACGATAACGCCTGTATGCCTCCTGCAGCGTTCGAATGTTCGGATCATTCAACCAGAGCGCAGGTGGTCTTGTCACGCTCACACGCTTTAAGGGTGAATGTCACTCTCAACAGTCCGAAATAATAGCATTGAAAGCGCTTAATAGTTCTTTAGGATCCTCTAATTAAAGCATAAACGACCTCAGATGAAGTTGAGTAAAATCGTCCCTGAACTGTTTTTCGTACCTAATAACCTTGTATCTTGGGTGAAACGGATGACAAGCGCATTGGCTGTGCCTCACACACGTGACAAACACTCTGCTGGAAAACATTGACAAAGGACTATTAACTGGTCTTATATTTTTAGACCTAAGCAAGGCCTTTGGCACCTTAGATCGTAGCATCATTTTAGACAAGTTAACTTCACTAGGAATGAATCGCTCTTCTGTCCAACGGTTTAGGTCCTACTTAACCATGCGCACCAAAAGTGTTTGCACTAATGGGATCTTGTCTGAGCCCCAGCCTATATCTTTCGGGGTCCCCCAGGGTAGCGTACCTGGCCCTTTATTATTTATCATCTACATAAATGACTGACCTCAGGCGGTTCAAGGTTGTAGCGTCGTGCTTCATACTGACGATACACTTATCTATTTTGCAAGAAAGTCAGTCAGTGAAATTCAAGCTCAGTTAACTAGTGGCCTAACTAATGTCCTAAGCTGACTTCACTTTAATTTTCTAATACTAAATCTTGAAAAAACGAAGATTATGCTTGTTGGTACCCATCAGAGGACCGCGGAGGCTGTCGATCTAGTTATAGAAATCAGTAACACGAGTTTAGAAAGAGTTAACAAGTTTAAATATCTTGGGGTCCTAAACAACACCTTATCTTGGAAGGACCACATAGAATATATCGGTAATAAGATCTCGTCTAGATTAGGTATTCTGCGTCGAGCGCGTAAGGTTCTTTACAAGCCAACTTGTCAAATGCTCTACAATACTATAGTCTTGCCATTGTTCGATTACTGTTCGCCTGTCTGGGACAGCTTTGGGGTTGGGAACAAAGCTTATCTAGATAAGCTAAATTGACGCGCCTCATGTATTATTGAAGGCCGATCTATCGACGACCGGAAATGTGTCTGCTGTTCGCAGGCTAATCTATCGGGGCTGAGGAGTTAAAATCAACACTTGGCTGGCCCAGTCTACAAGCACACAGAAATTATCTCAAATGCGTCTAAGCCCACATTAAGTGTCTTCACGGAATAGCGCCTTCGTACTTACTTGCAGAGTTTAGGCACACGCACCTTTTCCATGGCTATAACACCAGAAGCCGTGATTTGCTGCGCTCTCCCTTCGCAAAAACTACGAAATACCAAGGTTGCTTCTGAATAAACGGTGCTCGGACCTACAACACCCAGTACCGAGAATCATTGGACAAGTAGAGACCCTCAGCGAATTTAAAATCAAGCTAAAGCGCCATTTTAAACAGTAACGCCTGCAGTACATGTTGCCTTTGTAACATAATCAATTGTGAGTTTTAATGTCTCTGTTTTTGTGTTGTGTCAGGGCTCCATTTAAACTAGCTCTGCTAAATTGGATGCCCCTGGATAATGACGCGTCATGATCGAGTGTACGTGGGAGAACATCAGTATTTGTAACGCGTTTAGGAAGATTGGTAATAACGTCATCAACAAGCGTTTTACTGGACTTCGTAGTTCTTGTTGCTTTGGCGACGACTTGCTTCAAGTTCAGTGATTCGAGGATTTCACTATACCGCTTGACATCAGATGTTTGTTGTTTGATCATATGGATGTTTACATCGCCTGCCAAAATCTGCCCATCCCATGAAGCAACAAGTTCATTGGGAAGATCGTCAAGTCTCTGTAACCTTGCCTGCGTGCAGACGTCTCCTATTTCCTTTGCTGCACGCGGAAAAGGGACGTCTGCGTAACGCCGTCGCTAATCGTGTTCCAGCGTCCCGCTGGCAGGGTATTCTATTTCGCATAAATTGTGAAATAGTATCCGGTTAGAAATAAGAGTTGACAGGCCAAGCACAACATCATAAACTCGTGATAATACGAAACGTGACCCTGAGAGTCTGCTTGAACAGAGGTTTTTCTTCTTTTTTCTTTCGCGCGAAGGTTACTAGCACCACACAGTGTATGTAGCATTCTCAACTTTGACTGAGTAAATCTCGTTTTTGCCGCACTAAGTCTTACATTTAGAGGTCATGAACTATGAAGCAGGTTTGTTACATGCATACTGAGTAATCATTTCCTCTAGTTTATGCTTCTGAGGGTGTTCCTGATAGGATTTGTTTTCAGATGCAGTTGTAAAGTGTTAAATTTTCTTTGACCTCTGTTTGTTACGGCCAAATAAAGATTTTAGTTTCTTTGGCTGGCTTTCTCCGAAATGCCTGCCTGGTGCGAAGTCCACGCCGCTTTTGTAGTTTTCTAAGACACTCAGTTTACAAATATGATGTGATATGTCATGCTCAGTAAATTGTAAAGAAATAATTCCCTCGCACACGTTAAATTTTCCGCGGCCTCGCACAAGATTTCTTCAAACGGTCTGCACACAAGGGCACATGTTTTGATTTGTTTTGGCTGGTAAACCCACAGGCAGCCCAAGCTCAGTGTGTGAGTTAAATCATTAACACATGTAGTTTCATATTGCGTAATTTAAAATGGCCGTGAATATAAAGGATTTGTATGGGAATTCAGGTAAAAGATTCAAATTGATAATACTCGCTAGAATGTTCAATAAAATACAGCTTACCGTATTTACTTTGCTTGTTTTTGTTTGCTGTGTGGTTATTTTTCCGATCCATTGCGATTTAAGCGATTTCCTTTAACCCCGAGTTTCCACTGTAAGAGAAAGGTCCTTTCTCTTGCTTACCCTGCAAGCAGCAGGGATCAACTTTGAAAAACTATTAGGCTGAACAGTTTTCAAAAACCCTAATTTCAATCCGTTTCAATCTTCTTCGGTTTTGCCCATCCGTGGCATCTGTTGTTTCTGTTATGTTATTTAAACTTTCCTTTAAAGTTTTAAGCGGTTCTTTTTACGTTTATCTTAATTTAACGGGCATTTTGTAATTTCCTAATTTGGCTGAATTTCGTGACACAGCTCCCTTAAGCAAACCTGGACTGCAACCAAGAGGAAGGCGTGCATGCCAGGCCGAGGAGAAATGGAACTAAAAGAGCGTCTTCTGGGGCGAAAATATAAACTTAAGAATAAGCAAAATGAGAGGTCGCGACGGTCAGACTTCAGGTTGCCTGCCAAAAAAAGAAAACGAGAAAAAATAAAAACGCCTGATGGTAGGTTGGATTTTGCTCCGCCATGAAGTCTTTCAGAGATGTGAGGAACTTGTTAACAACTGCTTTGTTTGATAATTTGAATTCAAAAGATAAGTATCTACGATCGCCCAGCATAAAATTGCAGCGTGTTTCTCAGACCACTTCATGATGTTTGACTTGTATGACAACAAATTTGAAACTACGCGAGGCATAATGTTTTGAATAAACAATACATCTTTCAAGTACAAAGACGCCTTACCAGGGGCACCCAACGACTGTTTTCTGTAAAATGTCTGTTCTGAGAAACAAATGTTGCCTAGAATTTTCTGATTACGTGCGGACGGCTAAAAATTTCTTGACGACCGCTCCATTCATGTACAATTTTCGAAGCTCAACTAATAAATTCCCTACGATTTTCGGAAGTTTAATCTTTCACATTTCACTCCCCAGGTTAGGCTACTTTTCGTAGAAAAGAGGAAGCCTAAAATTTTCTGATTTAACAATTGTGATAGAAAGGGGACTCAGAAAAATTCTCTCCTTCGTAATACGTTAAATTGCACCTAATATTTTTAGGAAAATAATACTGAAGCCCTTGTAATTTCGAAAGTAATCAAGTTCCCCTAGGATGACCGTACAGATACAAATTGTATGGCGCCGCTAGAATGTATTTCTAGATTTCTGAAAGTACTCTGGATAGCCTAAAAAGTGTTTTCAGTGTATTTAGGAGGAAACCGTCGTTGGGTGCCCCTGCTTTATTTCCGACACTTTACCTTCAGATTTGTTACGAAACTCGGAAAGTTGCGAGAAAAGAGAGATTATTACAATAAAAAGAATCAGTACCCGATTAGAAGGAGCCTTCATCTCCCATATGAGCCCTTGGAGTCAACCCTTTCCCATGGAAATTTATTTATACCTGGATTTTTAAAAACCGGGTTAGCAAAAATATCAACTCATTCTACTACTTGGCAATTTAAAACAAAAAAACGCATTCAAAGGCCGATTAAAAGCCTTTATATGACGTCGGGCAGTAAGTTAATGGTCCCTAGAAGCATTCCAACTAGTCCAAATTTAAATTGAAGCAAATTTTAGAACATTTATTCAGTAAACTGACTTTGCGAAGTTTGAAACCGGTGTCATTTCAGTCTAGAAATTTTTAAGTTGAGCGAACTGCAGCGAAAGAGTGCCTGGTAAAGGCTTACGTAACAACTTAAATAGTTAGCAAAACACTACTTTTTTCCCGGTCCGATAAACAACAGCCGATTCCGCATAGAATAGACAACAAACTGAATGAAACATAGCGCACAAATTATCACCTTCTTATTTGCAAAAACCGGCCTATTGAACAAAGCTATTAGAGCCCGCTGAAACTAGACCTAGATCCAATTTTCCTGAGTCGAGAGTTGCTTTTCTAAGGTACAATCAGCTAAGCCAAACACCGACAAAACAATATTAATGGCTGGCACGGAATATTTTGGCGAAACCGCAGTTCAACTACGCGATCACATACCTGTCAACACCATGCGGAAATCACACAATCACACACTTTCGCGGCACTGATAAGACTATCCACAACCACGCATAATCTTCTCACTCACGTTTAACATAAGCGAAATATCATCCAATAACTCGGAAAAACTCAGCCTATTGCCAGATAAACACCTCTGGACTTTTCTCTTACACTTGTCTTATTCAAGTTCCCGGATGTAGAGTCACATGGTCGGTCTTGGCCCAGGTCAAAGATCACCTGCAATTTTGCTCTCACCTAATTCATCTGACTCAGCTAAGAGCCTGTTCCAGAGGCCGAAGACTTAGTGGTTAGAAAAGCGAACAATATTGTACCTTTCTGTCTCTGCCCGGATCAGGGTGATTGATCCGTTTAGCCAAATGAAACGAGAATATAATACGTCTATTGGACGATGCTGACTCTGCGAATCGTAATAACTTTGTCCCATCTCAGAGCTTTACATGATGCTCTCCGGGAAACTTTTCTCAAGGTGCATGACCAATATATAAAACTAAACTGCTAAACGGCACCGAGACCAGCTTTAGGCGCCCGCTGATTGTCACTTGTGTTAAAGAAAGAACTGTCACTTGTGTTAAAGAAAGAATTGTGGGTAGGGAAAAAATAGGGAGGGGAGTAAGATAGTAATTCTGTCTACATTCACTTCTACACAAATCCCTAACCACAAGACAAGCCAAAAAATACGACATAAGCAAACAACACAGTAAACAAGCTATTAGACAGGGGAAGTTGAGAAAAATTACAAAATGTTCGCTAACTCGGTTTTCATAACTCCAGGTAGATTTATAGAAAGAGCTTTCGCGGAATATTTTTCACGCCTTCTTAGTAATATCCAGTCAGAGCTGAGCAGAGTTCCCGGCTCTAATAAGTTAAGTATTGAAAATCAAACTCTTCAGTGGTTAACTCGCTTCTACAATGCTTTGGAGCTTTTTACGACGTCCACAAAGGAGCACACTGCATTGACCCACAGTTATCAGTGGCGGATCCAGGGGAGGGGCCCGGGGAACCCAGCCCCCATTTTTAGACCAAACTGAGGCCCGAAGGGCCGAAAAAAAGTTTTTTTGAGACGGCCCTCCACCCTTTTCTCAGGGTTTGGATGGCCGTCCCCCACCCTCCTCCCCTTATCTGAAGATCTGCATCCGCCACTGGTTATTTTTAAAGTCAAAACTATGCTATGCTCTACATGGACTACATCTTTCGCTTGCGGCTGCTGTAATAGTCCGCGATCTGGGATCGCGAATGTAATTCTAACGGCAAACATTTCAAGAAGACATATCAAACAATAAGGAAACTACAAAACAAAATTATAAGAATAATAACTTTTTCAAAATTTACAGATCATACAAGTCCAAGTGCACTCTTTAAAGAGTTATCAATTTTATACCTTTAGATGACATTAACAAGGAAGCCATTGCTTTGTTTATGTACTGTTACTATCATAATATTTTACCTTCATCTTTTAAGAATTTCTTTACTCTGAACAAAGATATTCACAAACATAATACAAGATCATCCTCAAACGTTCATACAATACAGGCACGCACTAACTACCAAAACAATCAGTAAAGTGTAAGGGAATATTAGTATGGAACAACTTGACAAAATCCACCAAAGTGGAGGTGGCTAGTTTATATATATATATATATATATATATGTATATAATTTGCACGGGCTCTCTTGCCAAGAGAAGGTGTCTAGGTTCAGCATGCTTTCCATTCCCCGTAACGTAACCTCCCTTGCGGTTTCGCACTGGAAATTAAGGATAGTACTTATGGTTGAGTACCCATCCAGCCGTCTGAACCAAAACAAGCCATTTTCCGGACCGGTTTCGACTTTACTGTCTTCTTCAGCGGAATTTTACAGTTTCAGCTTGTCCGGTCGATTACGCGCCGTTGGACTAATTGCGTTAACTATATGTCACAACTCTTTATATACTATAAATTGACAATTACGTATATGACGTGGGTATGGATCAATAGATTGATTAATGAGTGGTACAATTTTTTGGCGTTTTTTGAGTTAACGCTGAAAACTATCAATCTAGATGTCTCTCTATCCTTACAATTTTAGGCTAGTTTGTGCTACTTTTGAGGTTGTGACTTAATTGCCACTAGAGAACCGTTTTTCTCTGATTGTATAGGCGGTGATGTCTCGCGAATTTCTAATACTTATATGACGTGGATATGTCGTCAATTAATTGATTAATGAGTAGTTGTTTTTCGTGAGCAATTGTTTGGCGTTTTTGTGTATAAAGCGGAAAACTGTGACTCTTATAGTCTTTCCAACCCCACATTTTGAGGTTTACTTGTGCTGCATGTGTCTTTCTGCAAACTTGTTTGTCACTCAGTAGAGAATTGTTCGTTTCTGATTTTATTGGCGTTGGTGGCTTTAATCTTTGGCGTAATTCTATTCCATTTACGTACATGACGTCGGTGTGACCTACAGTTAATTGCTTAACGAGTGGTTCTTCTTTTTCGTGCACAATTGTTTGGTGTTTCTTGTGTTTAACGCGATAAACTGTGAATCTTAATGTCTTTCTATCCCCACATTTTGAGACTTGCTTGTGTATTTCTGCCAAATTGCTTGCCACTGGAGAATTATATAGCTGAAACTGTTTGTCTCTGATGTTACTAGTGGTGCGGTGGCTCCAATCTTGCGCGTGCGGCTGTATGTGCTACCTTAATTGTTCGTATCAAGAACGCGCGATTGTTAATGCAGAAGTCCAAGTGACTGGGTTTTCTATTTTCCTGAAGTCTAACAGTTCCATCTAGACTGGCGATTATATAATTTGCACGGGCTCTCTTGCCAAGAGAAGGTGTCTAGGTTCAGCATACTTCCCATTCCCCGTAACGTAACCTCCCTTGTGGTTTCGCACTGGAAATTAAGGAACAATTGTAGAACAATTCTCTACTGAGTGACAAAGAAGTTTGCAGAAAGACACATGCAGCACAAGGAAACGTCAAACTGTAGGGTTAGAGTCACAGTTTTTAAGTGTCAAACGTTCTAGCGCCAAAAACACACTGATTGGTCGCACTGTGCTTATACCATAAAATAAGTTTGTACAATAAGATGTAAAGGTGATAGAAAGGTACTTACAAAGATACTGGTTGCCTAGTAACATATAACAATTAACATTAATAATAATTAAACTAAAGCAGCTCAAGTGATTAATTCAACTATTGCAAAAAAGACAGGTTTTACATCCCCATCTGAAATAAAATTGTTAAATCTTTTCTTTATACAACGTTTAAAAACACCCAAGCTGTTCTTGTCACTTTCCTCTTTTGTTAGCCTAGACCACAAGAAAGGTCCCAGATATTTCAGAGACAGTATCCCGTATTTTACCGTTTTAAAACGGGGCATAGTAAAGTCATAGTATATCGCCCTTTTTCTTCCTCCTGAGTTATTTTATTATTCTAAATATGCCTTCTTGACCAAGGGTGCGATCTGCTTCAAATTTATCCTTACAATATGATTATAAATGCAAAAGACAAGTTCTGAGAATTAAGAAATGAGCACCAGTGAATTTTTTTCTCACTTCTCCCTGAAGGTGGTAGAAGAAATGTGCAGAGATCAGCGAGACCTTTGCCTTCTTGTCTGAAGTAACTGTACACGCTGCCAAAGTTCCATTTTCGGTGCCACGACCAATTCTCCCAAGGCGTGGACAACCAGCATTTTCTTTTACACATTGAAGGGACCTCAGGCCTGTTATTTGACCTTTCAACTTCCAACCAAAGGATTTTGTACTGTAGCCTTCTGTGTCAGACTGCTCTCTCTTGTTCCAGCTGGATTTAGCTCACAAAGAATATTGGCAGCCCTTAATTCTCTTGGCACATGGATGTGATGATTCAATCTTAGCTACTGCCACACTGCTCTGTAACCACGAAGTTCGCCGGGACCAGATATTTCCCTTTGCACGATTTCCCTAACTTCGTGATCGCTAACGTCCATGATACGTCTGCTGAGACCGTAGTCACAAAGCCTTCGTTTCAAAGTTGAAGGACTCATTGTGACTGCATATCGATTATTAAGGAAATCAACAATAACTTGGTTTTGAAATCCATGGTGAAAAGAGTGTTCAATTAATCGCCTTACTTCTTTGCTGTCCATTGCATCTGTATCAAAAACACTAAAGAAGGCGGTTTGCGAGAAGTCAGGCCCTTTGCGTTTTCTGTTTACTTCCGTTTTGCTTTTTACTTCCGTCTTTCTAATTTATTTGCGTCTTGCTTTTTTTGTTTGTGTTGTGCTTTTTTGTTTGCGCGTTTGCTTTAAGTTTTTGTCATATTTGCGTTTTCCTTTTCTATTTGCATTTTCTTTGTTTTTTTATTTGCGTTTTCTTTTTTTTCATTTGCGTTTTCCTTTTTTTATTGCGTTTTCTTCTTTTTTATGTGCTGTTTCTTTTTTATTTCTGTTTGAGCCTTCGGGGCCGCCGTAGTATTGTTTTAAATTAAGCAGCAGCCCATCGTATGTCGATATCATGCTCCAGGTATTTATATGCGTGATCTTTAGTTGCATGCTCTTTTCAATTAATACTTGTAGGTGCACATCATGATTCATGGTACTGCTGTTGTACGCGCATTCATCATCCTATGTCGATAGATGGTAGAAAGCTACCAATACATTTCCGGCAAACCCATTCTTTAGCAGGTGCTTTAGGGTGTGACGATGAGACAACAAAATTTGTCTCAGAGGTATGTCAAACTTATAGACAGACAGCTACAAACACAACACTAGCCGAAGTGATGGAAATTTGAACTTGTGACCCCTGAAAAAGGTTGAAGTGAAGAACATCTTGTGTTATTATGACTTTAAAACACTTAAATAATATCTACAGAAAAATTTGGAAACCTTTGCTGCAGCTACAATTCCATTTTATGGTACTAGGTGACATGGCGAAATGTAATTAACACAGCCTGAATAGTTTTGCCTCCTTGATTGTTTATTGCACAGTGAGATAAGATGACAACTAGATTTACGTAAAAAGGTAACAAGTGACAGCAAGAGTGTCAAACGGATCAACTTGTGGCCCTCAAATTTAAACAGCTTACAATAATACTGATTAACATATAATAATTTGTATGATTAAGAAATATGCACGGCAAAAATGAATTATACAACATATTTCATCACTCTATTGCCTTGATTACTCACAAGTTCAAAGTCTATATGTATAATAATTTATTAGAATTATAAAATTCTTTTAATTAGCAAATTAACGCTCTCTCGTATTCCTTTCTAACAATTCTGACACTTGGACCTTTCTCAGATTTCTCAGTAATTTATTCCAATTTTTAATTTTTCATAAAAGTGGTGTCATACTTCTATAAACGCGATAACAACTGCGAAACTGTTCGATAAATTTCTTTTAAAATTTGTTATTGACACTGGTCCTAGCAAGATTTCCTCTATGTCTTTTAAAGCCATGATTTCATTTTTCCGAGATCTCAGTTGTCCGCAGTATGTAATTAAAGCTCAAACTTGGGAAGTTTTGCTCTTAGTAAAAACCATTGCAGTCACCTTTTCCAGATAACACTAACTGACATAGTGCTCCACATGACGAAGCTTAAACAGTTAATTTGGGGGGAGGGGGATGTGGTTACATTGTACGCAAAGAAAGCCCTTGTCTAAAGTCCGAACCAGAAGAAACTGGTATTTGCTATGATATGAGAAAAGTTGTGTCTTATATCGACACGAAAAAAAGTAGTAAAAATGTTGCTAACACCATAGTAATCACGTATGCTGTACTCACAAAGTCGTGTCATAAATGTCCTTACAACTTGACACTGTAAAAAAAAAAAAAATCGATAATGCGTCATTCTGTCATTCATTCCAGTTCATGAAGGACAGTGCCCATGGCCCTCGAGCGAGTGCGTCGCGCTATTTTACGCTCTTCAAGCAGTTAGTTCCGATCTCTTTATTTCAATCTCTATTTTCAAAGCAAAGCAAAAGAAAAAAAAATGGACAAACTAAGAAAAGAAAACGAGAGTTTTTGATGAATTACACAATTTCTGTTCAACTTGATTCACGTAAACCCGTGCACGAAAAGAAGAAGATATATTTAAGTACCCATTTCAATTAACATATCTTGAGGTGCTCGGTAGTATATTTACCTGTACAATTATGTTCAGGTACACTTGCGGAATACCCTTTCCTGCAAGCACACCGAAATGATCCTTTAGTGTTTTGGCACAATGAACTGGTGGCGTTACAGTTGTGTTTTCCTGTCTCACACTCGTTTATGTCTGAAAATTAAGAATTAATGCTGAATTATCAAACTGCAGATCTGTTAACCATCATAATATGCCGTATACGTTCCTATTTTGACGATGCTTTTATCATTTCAACCTGATTAACCCCACTTAAATTCGACAAAAGAAGAAGACATTTTTAATAAAGTATCCATTTCAATTAGCATATCTTGAAGTGCTCGGTGGTATATTTTCCTGTACAATTATGTTCATGTCCACTTTTGGAAAAACCCGACTTGCAGACACACTTGTAAGATCCTTTAGTGTTAACGCACCGTGAAGTATCGGGGTCACATTGGTGGTTTCTAGTCTCACACTCGTTTATGTCTGCAAATCAAGAGTTAATGTTGAATTATCAATCGGGTTCGATTTTTGTGTCGATTCTATCCCATAAGGATAGATATATAACATATTTTTATAGAATGATAAATTTTTGTAGTGGACAAAACAAAAAAGGAAGTTAGATTGAATGCCAAATAACTAAAAAATACAAATGATAAACCAATTTACATGTTGTACACTTGGAAAGCTTTCACTGTGGGAATTTAGCCCGCGAAAAGGAAAATTGAAAAAAAGAAGATATATTTAAGTACCCATTTCAATTAACATATCTTGAAGTGCTCGGTAGTATATTTACCTGTACAAACGCGTTCAAGTCCACTTCTGGAATACCCTTTCCTGCAAAGACACCAAAATGATCCCCCAAAGTTATAGCACCATGAACTGGTGTTGTCACAGTTGTGTTTTCCTGTCTCACACTCGTTTATGTCTGCAAATTAAGAGTTAATGCTGCATTATTAAACTGTAGATCTTTTAAGCATCATAATATGCCGTATACGTTCCTATTTTGACGATGCTTTTATCATTTCAACCTGATTCACCCCACTTAAATTCGACAAAAGAAGAAGACATTTTTAAAGAATCCATTGCAATTAGCATATCTTGAAGTGCTCGGTGGTATATTTACCTGTACATTTATGTTCTCCTTTTTTGGAAAAACCAAACCTGCAGACACACTTGAAAGATCCTTTAGTGTTATAGCACGCTGAAGTATCGGCGTCACAGTGGTGTTTTCCAGTTTCACACTCGTTTATGTCTGCAAGTCAAGAGTTAATGCTGAATTATCAACGGGCTTTGTTCGATTTTCGTGTCGATTCTATCCAATGAGGATAGATATATATCATATATTTATAGAATGATAGCTTTTATAGTGGACAAAACAAAAAAGAAAGTTAGATTGAATGCCAAATAACTAAAAAATACAAATGATAAACCAAAGTTTTACGTGTTCCACACTTGGAAAGCTAATTCGCTGGGGGAATTTAGCCCGCGAAAAGGAAATTTTGGCGGCTCGGAGCAGACAAAGCCGGCGAGAATAATAGGGCTAGGAAAATGTGCACGCCCAAATTTCCCTCGAAATCGCACATGTAAGCCTGTTCGCACGCTACGGGGAATCTAGAGGCTGCAACTAACACCTAACATTTTTCGTGGATACGACCTGTGGGGTGTTTCTTGGTGATGGGGAAACTATTATTGGTTAGCTATTGTTATGTGGTGTAGATATTCTCAGTGTCTTTTTAATCTTTTGTATTACGTCATTTTGTGATTGCACCCGTCCATAACACAAAGAAACTACCGATCTGACACATACCACTGACTAAATATGAAACCGGTTTCCAGCTTTCTGACTGGCTCTAATCTTTATGGTATGGAATAGCATAAAATTAAAGATTAAACTCCTGTTAGTTTAAGCTCCGTATTGTTTGCTACCTGCACAGTTAACACCATCCCCATTATATCCAGGCTTACAAGTACAAGTGAAGGAAAGCTTGGTGTTGGTGCAGTATGCATCATCGTGGCAGTTATGTAGTCCTGTTTTACACTCATCTACAAATCAGCAAGTGGAAGTTAGGTATAAGAATTTATTTGACGTAAAGTAATCCACCTGCAAAGTCCGTTTTCACTTTCAGCCTATCAAGGGCTGTTTAAATTATTTATTTGCAACAGTTCAACTGAGTTCAAATTACTATAATTTATGAATACTCTTCGTTGAATGTCACCAACCAGGGCGTGATTTACTAAACATGTTTGTTAAAGGACTTGGAACGTTAGTCTCAAAACTTTAATCAAGAAACTTTGCACCCCTAAGGACGCATCGTATAGTGCTGCTAGGCTACACTCAGGGGCACCTAATGGACCTGATCCTCAAAATATCTGTTCTTCAGGCCAATTTTTGCTGGCTGGGAGATGTGGAAGAAATAATATGTCCTGTCCGAGGGGATTTGATGTTTAGAATAGTTACTATGTGTTATGGATCAGAAACCCCTCCCCCACCCCCACTGCTAAGGGGTGAATTTCGCCCTATGACCACACCAAAACTGGCCCGTAATGTCTGGACATACGTCTGCTGGGAAATTTCCAGTAAGTCAGGTTATAGGTTGTAGGTGCACCTTGCTGGCTGGGAACTCTTCCATCAGTCTTCCTGGGAGGGAGGAACAGATTAATTTTTCCTAGCAATCTGTCAGAATGCTTAAAATGGCTTCAGAAAGCTTTATTCACGCTTTGTTGTTGTTTAAAATTTCCCGTTGGGTGCCCCTGTACACTGTCCAGTGAGGTTTGCATCCTCGCCAGGAGGGTGGGGGTACTCCGGATTTCAACTGATAGGAATAGAAAAGAATAATTCTTTATGTAAACACGGTAAAATTCATCAGGAGTATAACAAATCTTAAATAAACCTAACTACCCTAAACAATATGCAAAACTTTATATAACTAACCTGACTAAGACCTGTTTTTCATGAAATTCATGAAATTCAGAAATTCAGACGAGCCAGTTGTTTAAATTGACTTAAAGATTAAGAAACAATACCAATTAACTGCACCGAAGCACACGTACAAACTCCGCGGTATGGCCAGTACCTTGAGCGTGCGCACAACCATATCACCCCGGCAGTGGCAGCCATGGACAGCTGTTTCGCCCGTATTGGGGCTCATGGTTGTGCACATGCGTAAGGTACTGGCCATACCGACCGCGGAGTTGATACGTGTTCTTCAATGCAATTAATTGGTATTGTTTCAAATTTATTTGGGTGCACAGGTCAATTTTTCTGATACCATCTCCATACGCATGCCGTGAGGGAACTGTTTTGTAGTTCCCAACCAACAGCTACCACTTGTTTATGGTAAAGCTGGCGCTTAAAGCAGCGCTTGCACTCTCCTCTTTGATACGCCAGCTATCTCCTGCTAGTTGACCCATCGGCTCTGCCAAGCTGGTGAGCCCCAATAAGGGCAAACCAGCGGTCCATAGCTGCCACTGCTCGGGTGATACGGTTGTGCGCATGCATAAAGTACTGGCCATAACGCAGTGATGTTACGTGTGCTTCAGTGCAGTTACGTGGTATAAAAGTTAGCCCTCTCATATCACTTCTCCCCTATAACTGAAGCTGTTCGTCATGAAGTTAGCTCCCACTCAGTTTGTTAACAGAGTCCCTCAGGGAGTAGCCCGTTTCACATCGTTTAACAATTTAGAGGATAAATATCCTGGAACAAGATCGTTTTAAGACTTGTGAACCATTAGGGCTTTTTGTATTTGAAACTGAGTGCTCAAGTCTTTCCAATTAAGATGTTTAAATAAGCGGTTGGCATAAGCACCATATCTAAAAAAGGTTAGGACACGAGCAGCACGGTTCTGAAGCTTCTGTAGCCTGTCAAACAAAGTTTTTCCACAATTACCACAGACAATATCACTATACTCGAATTGAGATTGAATGAGAGCGTTGTATATACAATGGAGAGTACACGTTGGAACAAAATCTCTAAGGATCTATCCTTGAAATCCAGAGTACACCCCCCTTAACCCCCCGGGCATCCGCGCTGGATTTTTTTCGTCCCACGGGCGACAACGCTTCCAATGAAGAGAACGGGTTCAGAAATGCATAATTTACATTGTTCTTTGTATAACAAAAACGACGCCAACCCTCCTTAAGTTCAATTTTTACTTGTACTCAATTATTCATCCCATGGTTTTTTATCACTCACCTAAACAACTTATTTCAATCTCTCTCATGATCTCTTCCATTTGTTCTCTGTTTTTTTCCTGCTCTTTAATTATCTCCTCTTCTTCTTTATTCATCGGAACGGGGCAAACTGCGAAACAGCAAAACAATAAATGAACAGTAATTATAAATCCATAAGTAGGTGGAGAATGATCGTCAGGGTGTAGTCCTCAATAGGACCGTGACGGGTAGTCGTCTTCATAGTCAAAGTCGTTTGTTGTTAGTCAAATTGTCTCTTGCCTATTAAGTCACTTCTGTTTTTGTCAGTTTTGCTTGAGTCCGCCATAAGTCGTTTGTACCGTGCCCACTGACTGCCATTCCAGTAGCTTTTGGTCTAATTTAGTAAGCCAGCTTTCTAAGATAAGTACTAGTTATGGTAGTCTGTAGAATGCGTAATACGCGTTGCAGAGTCCCGGTCGATTTAATGTTTTGTCTGGAAATGGTGCATGTTCAGCAATAAGAAGTGTGATTGTTGACATCACCATTTCTTGTCGCTGGATCTTCGCTGTTAAACTGTGACAAAAGACCGATAGAAACGACCCGAGTCTTCATAGCCAATAACAACACGGCTTAACTGACACAAGACCAATCACATCGAGACTTAACTAACCAATCAGGTCAATAACCAGAGTACAATACAGATATCAATATTGACGTTTTTGTAACTGTCGCCGTCGTTGTTGCTTTATAAGCTCCCTATTATAAACCTTCGCCACGGTAGTATTGGAACAGGAATAATTATAATTTTATAGCAATAGAAAAATGAAGATGACGATAATAATAATAATAATAATAATAATAATAATAATAGCACGATTTTCTAAGATACAAATTCATTTAAAATCTACTAAAGCTTACTAAGAAAGTAAAACAGAGGATCAGTCTTGAACGAAGGCGTTTGGCTGGTTTTGAAGTCTTGATCGCACATTTTTTATGTGTAAAAATCACTATTTCATTTTTTTTTTCTTTTACTTCAGAATGATTTTTTGACAGCTTTTTGTATATGAAACAACAACAGGGTGCTTAAAACTTAATGCCTACAAACAGGTGCGCAATAAAATTTTGGCCCTGATGTCATTAGTCATTACCTCCATGGTTTACAACTTCCTGTGCCATCATCACAGCTGGGAACATGATAAAGGAACTGATAACTATCAATGTTGTCATGTCAGCCATCGTCCAAGCTTGTAAAAATAAAATAATATTGAATAATATTCACTGACATATAAAAATGAATTTCGTTGGTGAAGGAGAACCGATGCATAACCACGAGTCGGGGTGGGATGTGGACGCCCTGGAAATTGCGGTGGGGCTGTGCGCCGTAATATAATTCCTAAATCCTTTACCCTATTTCATACAAACAAATTTGACTTTCCTTACTCTGTTCTATTTCAGGTTAAAACTGGGGATAAATTCTCTCCCCCATTTTCAGACCAAAAGGGGTATATAGCGCTATACAGATTATATACATACCTAACGGGCATAGCTATAATATAATAGGGATAAGTATAATATGGTCCTATCAGTAAGTTAATATATAGAATAGTAACCCGGAGACAACTTAGATAAAGAAGTACCCTCAGGGAATTTATCCGATCGCAGACCATATTCTTGAGTTTATTGAATTGCACCAAAGTCAATGTCAAAATCGCTGCATTCAAGCTTACTAAGAAAAAGTTGAAACCGCGATTCAAGAAGAACTAAAAAAACGAAATATAAGACAGTTTTTTTATCTCCCCTATACTGATGTATTTTTAATTTAGAGAAAGAAACATTGTGTAATATATCAGACAGTTACTGGATCGAATTAGAAGAAAACAAAATTTCTGAAGACAAATTCGTAAATAGATAAGTGCTTCTATGAACCAACTCTTGCAAGCGACTAATCGGCCAGATAAAGCGCTCTATATGAATAACCTTGCAGTCTAGATAGCATTAAAGAAAATATATTTACCGACTCGGGATAAGCCTGCGTCCCAGACAGTCTATATAGATGGACTATACAAATGGAAAATGATATTTACTGTAAAACGCAGGCTATCATGCGACGGTCAAAAAAGAAAAAAAGAAAAAGAACTTTAAAAAAATATATGCCAACTGATGCGTAATTTGAAACAAAGTCACCACTTTTTGAAGAAAAAAAAAAGAAAGAAATACACATTTTCAAATAAAAGGTTTCTTTGATGGAATAAGAATATTCGACTGGAAGACCTCGCCGAAAGCATCCAAATTGATGATTGGTCCGTTTCGATCCTATATCATATGGTGATCCTCACTGAAAACGACTATCTTTACAAAACTCAGGGGAATCCAGCGACTATATTCTGTAAAATAACTGTTCGAAGGAGCAAATTTTGCCTAGAAATTTCTAAAGCTTGAGAAAAGCTAAACATTTCTGGATAACCGTTCCATGTTTTCACACTTTAATATCAAGATATTTTGCAGAGCATGATAAATGAAATTGTCCCGATCTGCAGGCTTCTGCTGGTAAATCCGCAACCATCGCAGCAGGAAAAGGTCAATTTCGGCAGCTCGACGGTTAAAACCTTCTAAACCTAACGCTAGGGGAATTTAAAACGTAGAAGGTTAAAACCGTCTGAAACATGGCTCCATTCCGTGACAATGAATAAAGAAAGGTTCTAAACAGCCGCAAGGAGAAAACGGACAAGCTTTTCAAGTAAATGAAACACGCGAAAGTCATGATGCTGCTGTGCACGGTTACACCTTTCTGTTACTAACTCCGTTCTCGTTTGGTAAACTATTAAAAAAAATGATTGATGAGATGCAACTTTATTAAAAAATATTGAGTCGGCATCAGGTAAACCATTTTTAGAGTCCACAACCCTACAACCTCCGCCCCCCTCCCCCAACTTCACTTGAAAAGAGGTGGATCGGTCCCCGCACTTTGAAAACTGCTACGCGGGCCCTGGATATATCAGGCAATTATTGAGATGAATTTCCGAGATGAAAAGAATTAGAAGATACAATTTGAATTTATCGTATTCGAAAAACACTATTTAAAAATACTGTTTCATCACTCTTTCCGTCAAGGATATATAGTATTCTGATTCAAACTTCTGCTCTGTTTCACATCAGTGAAACTGTATAAATTTAGCCTCGAAATAAAGAACTAAAAACCTAATAAAAATATGAGGTAAGTAAAACTCCTGTAAAGATGGGATAGAACAGTTTGGGGACGAAAAAGCATGTGGTTTGTACTGAAAAACACGACAAAGCAACTAAAAGGTTCAGTGATGTTGCAATATATAAGGGAAACGCGCCATCTTTCGATGCTATACAAAGAAAAACTGGTTTTGTTCAAGATTTCGGTGTACACACCGGTCTTCGCACATATTTTTAAGGCACAGTAAAACCTCATGCTAGGGGAATTTAATATGTAAGTGAAAAAATACAGAGAAGGCTTTCAAAGTTGACCGTCACCACCTGCAAATTCCTATTTCGTATTAGACTGCTAAACAATTCTCACTTCCAATCCTATGGTCCGCCACTTTTTAAACAGTTAACTATACTTCAATGACTTTACATTTAGTTTTTATAGACTTATATGTTTATTATTGTTTATGATTTTTTCGAATCATAAGCTGCCTGAAGTATATTTGAAAGTTATTTTAAGCCTGTTTCTAAGATTCATTTCTTTTATATTAGAGATACCCACTCCAATTATTTTCTTCCCAAATTATGGCGAATTTTCTGTTCGCTTTACTGGAAATGCTCAGTCGTTGCTACTGGAAAGAGTGAATAAATAAAAACAGTACCTTCGCAGGAGTCAATTAAAGGGGAAATTAAGCCGACTATTACAACTGTCAAACTATCTTTGATCTACCTCTAGCGCTTTTGATCATTTTAATGTCTAAATGCGCTATATTAAGTGAATAAATTATTATTATATTATTATTATTATTATTATTATCTTTTATAGTTTCTGTTGTCTACATGCCTGTCTCACGAGATGCAAATACTTATTGTTTTCATTAATTTCTGTTTCTTTCATTGGAAAGAGAAATAAACCTGACTTGACCTGATACGACTTCACTCACTCAAACTTAACCAGTCGCAATTCTAATTCACTGATGAGCCGTGACGTACCTTACAAAAAAGTAAACACTACAATGTTGTTTGGCTTTACAAAGTAACTCACAATTTTAACTGACCACTTTCACCCAAAGTTAAAAAGGGCCCGTCAGTCCAAGTCGCAAATTCAACTCGTTCTCTAGCAATTTACAACTCGTTAGCCCGAGTACTAAGGATTAAGCATTTCTGGGGAGAAAAAGCTAGCTAGAGAGAAGCGGAAAAGGTCTTTTAAGTCCTGACCCTAACAGGTGAATATTTCACATACGGCGCACTTGTGGCCGTTGGACATGAAGATGTCCTCTGTCAGGATGATCAAAATTGATAAATGATTACGAAATATTGTAATTACAAACATCTCTATCTGCCATTCTTGTTAAAAAGTTTTATATCGTACGCACCTCAAATTTTTCAGCTCCTTTGATCGGTTACATGTTTACCAACTTTTGGTGTCAAAAAGCTTCTTAATTCTGAGCAAACTTGTCTGAGTAGGTTGCTAATGAAGATGTTTTATAAATTACGTGAATGGTTTGCTCAATAAAGCAAACAAAATTTAAAGCAATTAAAACTGATCAAAGATAACGTTCAACACAGGATACGTTTAAATTTTTTTTTTTGGAACGTCAAAGATCCCCAAGTTAGAACAATTAGAGACATTACTAAGAAACTTAAACGCAGAAATTCAATGTTTGTCAGACCGATGGCGCCAGTAGTTAATTTTAATTATCACTTATATGTTGATAAAATGTCTGATCAAAAGAAGCGGACAACAATCTCATATTTCAGTATTACTGACGTTGGCAGTACGGAGTACCATTTAAAACGCCAAAATATCTATATATTTGTAGTTATTACTCACTATTTTCCGATCCTGTCCATAAATTGTTAAATTCCGCCATCTGGTCGCAAAGAGACAATTGCAGTTTACTTTAACAAACACACAGTTTATTAAACTTATATGATTGATACAGAATTTCTTGTTGTTCCCTTTTTCTTTTCAACTCCCCTTCTAGGAACGACGTGCTTGACCTGTTCTGTTATATGATCTCTTGACTCATATTTATTTAATGAATGACGATGATCGCTCGCTCGATTCTCGCTAATCGATGATGCATGTGCAAGTTAAAAGCCCTTTTTAGATCTCTCTTAGTTTAGCAGTTTCCAGGTGCCTGACACTGTTTTCTCAATGAAGTGTAACATATCAATCCATTAGAGAGTTTTAGATTCACCGTTATGGAAAACGGCAACGTCAATTTGTAGCACATAACGAAGTTCTCTCTCTAGTTGTCGTTTACTATTTATAATGCAAAAACTAGTAGCTAATTCATGCTAGATTCATGCATATGAAGTATTTCTGCTCATTTCTGAATATGAGAAATTGTCACCTTGAATTTGCCGTATGGCGCATTAACCGTAAACGTGAATCTAAGGCTATGTTGACACTATACTGGAAAGCTTAAAACTTAAAAGCTATCCAGTATGATATCAACATCTATCCGATGTAACTCTCCACTTTAGAGATCGGCGCTGCGCAGCTTCGCTCCGTTACAGAAATCGCGCCGAAATCACCGTTCTTACGTGTGAACAGAAACCCTATCCTGTATAGTTTTCGTGCCGGCGCAAAAGCTACCCGGCATAGTGTCAACATTTTCTTAAACTCACTAATATTATCGCGCTTTTTAAAACTCGATCCCAGCGGTGACCAGTTTTGAGGATCGCCGAAGAAAAGAGAGTTCGACAGAGTTCCCAAACCAACACCCCAAAAATTTGAAAAAAAAGGGTTAGAAAGATAAGTTGTATTGGAATACGTATACCAATGAAATGTCGATCTTAAGGAAGAAAAGCCACTGGACTTTGGATGTTTTTTATCTGCACATGGATGGATTGTTTTCCATTAAGATCAAAGTCGGTTATAACGCGGATATTTTCTTAATGGGTTATCGGCTTATTCATGATTGGTTGCTTACTCAGGCCACTTAAGGCATGACTATGTAATTAAATATGCATATTTTGATAAAATGCTATTTAGCACGGTTTGCTTCTATCAATGATCCTGAAAATTGAACTACAAATGTAGCTTAATGGCC